GAGTGCAATAGATGCTGCGCAAGTCGGCCACCACTATAAACTGACTCATATGCAAGTCACCGTACCTGTGACTGTTTGCTAATTCCGCCCATTGGTGGAAGCTAACGCGGTACGAAGCCGTGCCCCCCCCCCCAACGGGCCACGTGGTAGATGCCCTGGACCAACACGGGGGCCATATCGGATCCTGGCAAGCGGTAAGGGCTCTGTGCATCATAAAAAATGCCAACATTTCGGGCTGCTGTGGCAGACTCGGTGCCGACAGACGTCGCGCGCACTGGAACCCCTCCGCCCCCATGGTCGTTGTTGTTGGTCAAAATCCTGGTCAGTTGTTGCGTGGACCAGGGGGTGTGTGGAGTGGAGCGCGATGGTGCGGGCTTGACCGTGCCATCCACCCGCGCCCTCTCCCGCCTCCGGTCTTCTTGACTCTGTCTTGACACCGGGTCCAGGTAGGGAGTGGGGAGGAGAGCGTGCGATAGATGCTGCGCAAGTCGACTACCACTATAGACTGACCCAAGTGCAAGTCACCGTACCTGCTGCATCTTGCTCTGTAGCACACGGTGGACATAGTTGGAACCGGTGGTTGAATTATCGGTACGAGGGCACGCTGAATGTTGCCTGTTATCCAAAGTTTCCACACCGGTCGTCGTCGTCCTATGGGCCGGAGGCCGCGTCTGTGCCATGTTCTGCCCACTTACCATGGCAGTTCGACTGTAGCAAACGATGGCGTCCACCGCGTACCCCGCGGGGTGGGCTCGGCGCCGCAGACGTGTGCAGCATCGTCCTTTGCCCGCCTCGCTCCAGTGGGCTCGGGAGCAGCGGCTGACAAGGCTTCTCGTTTCGTCTACGCGGGCCACACGCACGATTAGAGTCTCACGTGAGTGAGAATTCCGCAAAGGGAACATTAATGGGGAGCCATTGAAGCCGGCTGTTAATTAGGTTGGACGCAGCGTCTGACAGGACTAAACAGTCCGTATACCCGTGCCACATGTTCAGGCTGTACAGCATACTACTCATTTAACGGCGTTCGCGGAGACTGAGATTTCCGCGGCCCAGTCAGCGGCGGGATACCATGTAGGTTGCGTGAGGTACTTGGGCACAAATCCGGCGACTCCAGCTGCCACGACGCACATCAGATGCCAGGTTATTCGACCGGCACAATGACTTCCCACGGGGCTAGCTGGTTTTGAGCTGTTACTCTCGTGGGAGATAAAGGCCGCGACGAAGTTGGCCGCAGATGATACGACGACCAAATCACCCCCCTTGGGAAACTTTCGAAACCCCCAGTTTCAGCATCACCTACTGGTGACGACGCATAGGCGTGGTAGAAAAAAGCAGGGGGTCGGTCAGAAGCAAGGCCGATCGATTGGGGGGACTAACACATGTCCTGCCTGATATCTTGGGCAGTGGATAGTGACCCACGATAACCTATCCCTGCTGTTTGACAGGGCTCTACCGTCTGGACGAAGTGGATTGCACGGAGGCGCCGACGTTGGGGACGTTGTCTTCTGGAGGTATGCGACCTCCAAGCCCTTCCAGTGCTGCTGCTGCTGCTGCCGCCGCTTCCGGGACGGCACGAACTCTCATCGCGAAAATGTCGCCAATTGACCCACAGCGTCTCATCAAGGCACTCACAGAGTCTGGCGTTACTGGAGGTCAGTTGGCTGGTCCTGATCTCTTGGCAAAGTATCTCGAACAGGAGGCTAAACAGATTGGACTGGCAGGACGCATCCAGATGGCTTGTTCTGCGGAGCTGACACCATCTCCTCTTGGTCCTTTGACCACCTCCAATTCAGCATTGATTCTCTTTGTGAGTTACTTCTTGGGCCTTAGTTTATCCATTAGTCTCTCCCTCTCCCTGCCCACTCCACCTTTTCCTCCTCCTCCTCCTCCTCCTCCTCCTCCTCCTCCTCACCGATCGTTCTTACGGAACTCAATCGTTCCGTTGTGCCTTATGGGCTCTCTCTCGAACCCAACCAGCAGCCGCACAGCGGCTCATGATATGGGCAGGATGGACTCGTGGCCCAGTGGTTAGAGGCGTGTACTTCTAACTAACAGGTCGCAAGTTCGAGCCTCGGGCGTTCCACACTTCGGGGTTGGGTATAACTGGCTGACGACGGCTAATAAGCCAGAAATGACCATTCCAGTCTCCCTTGTCTTTTTCGGTAATATCATTCTGCCCATATCATGCGCGCTGTGCGGCTGCTGGCTGGGCTCGAGAGAGAGCCTGTAAGGCACAACGGAACGAGTGAGTTCCGTATGAACGATCGGTGAGCGCCCCTACTCGTCAGAGTATGTGGGTCCAAAATGATTTAGAGATCGTCTGGCTTTTTAAATGGTTGAAATTTCTGTCGGCTGTGAGAAAATATTTCTTCTCCAACCGTGTCGTGGAACCGTGGAATAACCTGCCCGAGACGGTTGTTATGTGTCAATCTGTGGAGACATTTAAATGTCGCCTTGACAGATATATGCTGCAGCAACAAGCGGACTATGCGACTTTTTAACCACGTGACTAGTGACATATGTGAATCAATGTATGCATTCACTTAATGCTGTAATTTCTTCACATTTTCGCTTGTTTATCGATTTTTTATGTACAAATAGGGAGTTCAAAGGCGTAAGCCTATTTCCCTCAAATACACTGACTGACTGAACTGCGCGATAAAATCAGACCGGAGCCCATCATATGTGAAGTGGCTTATAGTACTTAAATTAACCGAGTAGAAATTATTACGCGATACAGAGGATGACCGGAGGTATGAGATAAATGCAACCAGGCAGCTAACCCACCGAGGCGGACTCTAACCCCTAATTGCTCGAGTACCGGTTTAATGCTTAGCCACCGGAACCACCAGGAGTCTTGTCACTGATCAATTTTCTATGCACTCACTCTTCTGACGATCCGTCGGGGCTGATTAGTGTGATTGGCACTGGGTGTCGTTAGCCCTTTTCCATTCCACATTCCTCCAGTTCTTAACCCTTCTCCTCTGCCTATCGTTGCAGCCCAACAGCAGTGTACGCATCCTCCTCTGGGAGTCTGGCAGTCACGTGGTCTGTCAAGACGAGGGAACTCGACAGGCCATTCGTGGTGCTATCATCTCTTGTGCTGAAATGACCTGTATCCCCCCTTATACCTGAAGAACCTCGACTCTCTCTCCCCGCATCCTCCTCTACATTTTTAAATGTACAAAGTACCACACCTGTTGTTATCGCCACGCCTTTACTTTGTCCGAGGTTGACTGCTCGGCCGACAAAAACCCGTGCAACCGAATCTGCGCGAAGGCAGATGATGGTACTCGGGAGCGAGAGTGGCAGGTCATTAAGTGCACGCCCATTATTAGGCAGAAAGTGGTTGGAGCGTTCAGGTCGATGATCTGGTTTAACTGTCGGGTCATTCTTTCCTGGGATCTGAACATGACTGGTGGATGACCGGGCAATTGGGCTCTTTTTTACCTTTGTCAGTGAAAAGAAACCGTCGGCTATTGCTTAACCCTCGCTGCGCGATCAAGTTTGGAGTTCCAAGCCAAAGTGGGATCGCCCTTATTATGTCTTTTTACTCTGTTACGTTTGACAGACATCGCGAGACCCCTTAACACAACACTGCAGTGGTAGGAATTCCGAGATAATCAGTCGGCTACTTCGCTCGTAAAGCTAGAAAGTGCCGACGACAGCCGTCGCCAGGCGGAATGACTGCGAGTTTTGCTCGCGCTCGGGCGGGGGGAAGGCAGGTTGAGGTAGTGTGCGTGGGAGGGCAAGGGCCGGGACGGAAATCACGGCGGGGAGCCGGGGAGGGGACTTCAGACGGATGGGGTAGGGTGGCGGAGAACCCGCCCGTGGACTGAACAAGCATCGCGTCGTCGACACGATCTAATGCCCTAGAGGTGGCAAGGAAGAACGAGATGCCCTCGTAGGCTGGGGTTCTATCGACAATGCCGGTATCACACTAGTCAAGTCGGATGCTTCCCCGCGAGAGGGGGCGACTGTGTCGTCGGGCGGCTTGTTTTCACAAGTCGTGGACCTACTTGGCCTATATATAAGGGTTAGGGCGACGCACGCGGCCCTTGGTGTGCTTTTTGTTTTGTGACCGCCGCCCGGAGGGATGACACGGGCTTGCACGCAGCATCGCTATTAAGGCTTCTCCGCTGCCGTGATAATGGCACTCGTCAACTAGCACCTTCACGACGCACACACAAGACATTGAGTGCTTACAGTAATGTTGGCACAGGGACTGTGTGGGTAAAACCAGTGTCCGTAGAAATGACCGGGTCTTGGTGGGATTTTCGGACGATTATCTTAATAACGTTGGGGAATGGTGTTCTTGCAGGCAGACGATGTGACGGTCCTTATCACCTGTGACGCAGGCTTGGGGTGGAACATTAAAGTTCGAAAATACTGATCCCGAGAGAATGAAGAACTTTCTGGCTTCCAGAGCAGCCAACCACTCCCGAAGACCGCAACTGTGCAGGTACTCAGCGCAGATGGGACACCTCTATTGACAAACATTAGGTCAAGCACCCCAGGTGTTTTTAACCGTGCATATACAATCACCATTAACAGACACCTCCGATCAGAGAACAAAGACGGAGTCAACGAGCTCGTGGCTCAGTGCTTAGAGCGTTGGGCCCTTACCCAGCAAAACGTGGATTCGAGCCTTAGGGGTTGGGCGTGGTTGGCCGATGATGGCTGTCAGGTCGGAAACGGTCAAGCCAGTCCCGCTTGTCTTTGTCAGTCATCTCCACCTGTATATGAACCTAATTGGCTGACCCCCCCCCCCCCCCTAAGGTCGTGGCAATGCAGCAGACGTTCAGTGCAAACTTACTTCCGGCCGAAGGTTGTGAGTACAGCGGCCCTCGCCACAGATGAGGCCGTCCCGCGGCAGAAAGTCTTAGCAAGATGCAAAGGAAACCTGAACAGCCGCTACGGTCGTCGTCATAATCAACTGTCTTCTCCCAAGCTCTACTAAATCGTCTGAGTCTACACCTTGAGAAAGGACTTATGACAAGAAAGTAAGGTGGATTCCGGAGAACCCGTAGGACCATCGATATCATCTCATATTACGAGGACCACACGTAAAACGTAGGGAGAATCGGGGTCAGCCTCTACGCATCCCCCGTTGGCCTAATCGGGGCCTTCAGCATGGTGGAGGAGGGATTCGGGACGTCTGAGAGCTAACCCTGGTGGTCGATGAAAAGTGAGATGAAGCAGAGTTGCATCGTCGTCCCAACTCTCTTCAGTCTCATGTTTTCGTCCATACTAACGAACGCCCATCAAGGAGACCGACCATACGAGTTTGATATCACAGCCTTCAAGGTCGGGTGATCGACGTATTTGACGACCAAAGCCGAGGGGAGTACATGCCACAAAGTGTGGACCTTTTCACCTCCGGGTTCGCGAAAATCCCCAACAAGGGACACAACGGGTGCGGTGCTCAACGTGACAGTCGCAAAGCATCGGCTCAAGAAAGCTGCCTCACAATGCCACTTCATCTGCCTCGCTGTGTACCACAACCCTACTCGTTAACCTGCCCACAGTGAATATTCCTACCCAACGAAAGTGCTTGCATCAACGAAAGCGTCTACCCCTTAATCCAAATCACAGCCCCGTGAAGGTGGATACCATCTACCACGATGGTTGAACACCTAGGACAAGGCAACGCGACCAGGCGTCCAAAGTACTGGAGATGGCGGGAGCGGACCGCCCTAAAGGTGCGCCACAGGCTTGTGAGCGATCAGAATTGCATGACATAAAAATGAGTTAGTGTTCAGACCACCGACCCATCCAGAGTTTTAGGCGAAGGAAGCCAGAACCAGAGACCAGATTTGTGCAGCTTAACAGGACAACACTCAGAATAGAAAATACCAATGGACAAAAAGTACAGGCGTGGAAAAGCTGACCTTCCAAACGAAGATCTGCACTGCATTGCAACTTAGCGGAAGGGAGCCTCGAGCGGAAAAGACCCCAGGACAAGGATCAGAGGCGCTACACCACCGACAGTGTCTGATTTGCCCATCTTCAGACGTCGCATCGTTATTCAATGATTGATTTAGTGCAGGAAAAACTGACAAATAAGAACTTGATACACAAAGGGTGGGAGGAGGAGGAGTCAAAGGGAATGAAAATGCGCCAATAAAAGTTTGGTGGCGGCAGCTCCCAACATGAGACACTATACAGTAGGTCAGGTGAATCTGCGAAGAGTGGCGAGGCTAACGTAGCGCGCATCATCACCAGACGAGGGAGAGGAGGGGCAGCGTGGCGTTGGCGTCATCAAACCTTCGCCTCCGCTTCCGGAGACGAAGGGGAGGAAGCTGAGGACGATGAGGATGAGTCAGAGGAGTCTGAAGAGGAGGAGGATGAGGACGAAGAATTGCCATTCTTCGATTTTTTGTCATCATCTTCATCCTCAGAAGATGATGCGGAGGAGGATGAGCTGGACTCGGCATCAGCTTTCTTGACGCTGGCTCCCTTCTCCTCGTCGGCATCCTGGCTGTCTTCGCCCCAAATATCGTACTTGGCAAGGTCATTTTCGTCCCCGGATTCTTCTTCCTCTTCCTCATCCCCCTGATCCCCATCACCACCATCTTTGGACGTCTCCTCCGGAGAGCGTGATGGCCGTGGCGATTTCTGGTCAGAACTCTTTGTTACTGTGCTCGTTTCCTCATCCTCGTGCTAGAAAGGGCAAATTTAAGATGACAATTCAAGTAGGGATGCTGATGAACGAAACTGTGAGCATGTGTGCACTACAGAAATACACTTTCGCGGACTAGCACAAAATACTTGGAAAGCTCTAGCGGGCATTCGTCAAAAAATTACTCGGGCGAGAACAATCTCGAAAGTTAGTTCTCAAGGGTAAAATATGGACGGTGGTGTTTATCTAAACATAGGGAGCAGACGCATGGGGTTTATGGACGACAACCCTGCAAGCTCTATTAGGGTCCATGGAAGACCACCATATGAGTGGAGAAGAAAATTACTAATGATGGGAGAGGTGAAATGCCCTGTAGACGTGACTGGAACCCGCCGTTTCGCGCAGTGACACAGGTAATGAAGAATCTGATTCTACCGAGCCGTTAACGCAGTTGGGATGAGAAGGAATGTTCTAGAAGTAGTCGGATATAAGCTCGACGACTGAACTACAGATTGAGACAGTAAAAACTCACCAACCAAGGAGAGGCTATGACTGAGAACGGCGAAGGATCGTACAGTTTAGTAGTAAGACCTGTCATCCTTTTTAACCGATCATTCTTTGGACCCCTACTTATGGTTATCTTTGCTCAGTACACGCCAAAGCAGACGTGACTCCTCCGAGTCTTAAAACCTTACCTAATCACTATAAGCACATCATATGATCGGCCAATCGCTGTTTATGCATTGCAAACAGGGCAACGCCGACGCCGGGAGTGCGGCAGCATCGACCTCGTCACCCATCCTATTTTTACCATGATCGCGCCACATGACGACAGGAGAAGAGCTTTTATACGGTAGCTAACCACGAGAGTGTGGCGAGTACTGAGTTTCTGCAAGCTTTATTTGGACATGGTGCGTTTAACCAACTCCAGACTCCGGGGCATAGGCCGTGTGGGATTATAAAGATTCACGGGAACACGAGGCAGCCTAAAGTCTTCAGTTCGTAAGCCCAAAGCGTTGGGCCTTCATCGTCAATAAAACGGTCGCGATGACGGAAACCGCACTTGAGGGTGTGCAAAATGACCCATGTCGTGATACCGTTTTGGTCTGGGACCTTATGCGCAACCAGGTATTTTATAGGTTACACCAAAGACCAAAAGGGCTGTAGCCGTGTACTTACGTTTTGGAGTTTTCTATATTTCTTCTTTTTCAATCCGAACTAAAAAGAAAAAGGGAGATGCGAAGAATTGTCAGGGTTAACAGGTCTGTGAGGTTAAGGAACAAACCAACGGGTATAACCCTATGACTGCAACGATACGCGGACCGGAACCACGGCTAACCAGATCCCGAATGGATGTACACAATGCAATTGATCGTCAGATTTTTCTAGTAGTTTAGGGGACTCATAAATACTGTACCGTTGGTTTGGGCATACCGAAAAGTTTTCTTAGATGGTTTGAGACTCACAGTGGCGAAACAGGAGTGGCTAATAAAATTAGAAAATCTACCTGAAA